TGAGGTTTGGGTGATCATTGAAATCCTCAAAATCATTGATAGATAGGAGTGTAGTGGTGGCCAATACAGACAGGTCAGCGATAGTCAAGTGCTCACCACCGGCCACATACTTATTATTACCAATTAATGTGTCAATCAGTTTCATTGAGTTCTTATAATTAGTGATCTGTTGGTCAGTCGGCACTATACCAAACAGGGCTTTCATAACCTGAAAATCATTTAATATATATTTTGTATAAATTTATAAATTTTAATCAATGAATTACAAGCGCTTCCACATTAGCGGTGAAATAAGACATATCAGTGTTGAGCCAACGATCCACTAGTGCTCTCTGATTGGGATTAGACGGGTATAGAGTACTATTGGGGGCGTATTTATTGCACAGGTATTGCATTATGGCTCGACTTTCCCATAGAACCAGATCCCCGTCCACTATTGTGGGCACCTTTTTGGCGGGGTTGAGCTATTGGTTGTTAAATGGTTGAAAATTACTTTGTGAGCATTTTTGTAATCTATGGTAATTAACTTAAAATTATGAAAAATGTTTCAAATGAGGCATACCTTTGAATATTGAGGCGTCAAGTGTTCGCCTTTAGATAATTCAACGATTTTAATATTGACTTCAATGTCGAGGTGTTTGGCTGTCATCAACACCGCCCGACACGGAGGACTTAGGCTCAAGAAGTACAGGTCGATTGGCATTTTTTAAAATTTAGTTTAAACAATTAATTGCAAACTAATTTCAAACCAAACTTTTTTTAATGTTTTACCAAATTAACATCTCTTTATATACTGTTCGATATACAGTATTCAAATCAAATTATTAAATAAATATTTATTAAAACTGATATAAAAATTACTGAAGGTTATTTAATTATTTTGTAGATAATCTTAATCGGTCAAAATTAGATACAGTAACTATGAATATTATAGATAACTGTTGGTATGCATTGAATAATAAGTTTCACCAATAATTGTTATTGTTTTTTTATTGTTATTTATTAAAATTGTTATTGTTATTTGTACAATAGAAAATGTTCATTGAAGTGTTCACAAATGAACTTTTCTATCTTAATAATTATTAGTTTTGTAAATTACAAAAGTTAATAAATGACATTTATTTATAAATTTAGCTGTACTTAATATTTATTGGATATAAATTATTTATTTATTAAAAGACAGTTTACAACAAAATTATTATAATATAAAACAATTGTAGGATTATTATTATTATCTATACTTATAAGTATTACCGTAATTAAATCTAGAATGCCCTTTAAGTTTCTTATTAAGACAGTAAACAATTATCACTTTAAGTACTTAATAATGTTATTATAATAATTAACTAGTTATAAAATAACAATCATCGTTAAATGAAAAAACAAAAATATATTTATTGCATTAATAATTTTATAAATATTGTGAACGAGAATTTTGTTCATTTATTTGTATTATAATATTAATAGCAATATAATACTGCCATAAGTAGTGAAATAAAATAAAACACATTACGAAGAAACAAGAACTCAATTCTTATGAATTACTTCTTGGAAGCGATCACTTGTTTCCAGAGTTCGGGTACTTTGCCGTTCACTTCATCAAAATACGGCAATTCCTTCTGCACTCTGAAGAACCAGTTCTTCACATTTGGGAATTCATCCAAATCTTTGTAGTCATTGATGGCTAGGACTGTAAGAGAGGCCAAGAAAGAGATGTCGGCGATTGTCAACTCATTTCCCGCAACATATTTGTTGTTCCCAATGAAGTCATTCAAGACATTGAAGTTGTTTTTGAAGTTCTTGATGGCGTTCTCATGCGGTTCCACTCCACGGAATATTTTTATCAACTATTTGTATAATTAAAAATTATAAAGATATTAACATAATGGTCAAGCTCATATTATTGGCAAACTTACAATAGTGTCCCGAATGGCGTAAAAGATGCTCATATCGTAGTACAGGAGTCGGTCCACATGTGCCCTCTTCTTCAGGTCATGGGTTGGGTAGAGACCACTGTTTGGCGCGTATTTGGACACCAAGTACTGCATAATAGCTCGGCTCTCACCCAAAGGAAAGCCATCGTCCACTAGAGTGGGAACGGCGTGTTGTGGGTTCAACTAATCCACAAAAATATTTATTCAGTTAAATAATTGGTTCAATTATTATTAGTTTCGTGAGATTATGGACATACCTTCAGGAATTCTGGTGTCTTATTCTCCTCTTTTTGAATATCAATGTTAATCACATTGACGTCCAGATTGAGTTGTCTGAGTGTCATCAACACCGCCCGACTCGGAGGGCTTAGAGTAGTGAAGTACAGATCGATCGGCATGAAGGTTATACTTATGAATTGGGTTTTGTTAACAATATAAGGATTTTAGTGAATCAGAGATTTAAGTTGTATCACAAATGATAAATTTTTCAAAATTCAGTCTTTTATATACTCTGTGAAGAAGTTGTGGAAAGTTGTCAAAACAGGTGATATGACTATTGAGATGTGAAATAGTGAGCCGGGAATGCAGTCTACTGTGGGAATTCAGTTCTCATCCAAGTTTGCACTGGAAATGCACTTAGAATTGAGTTTTGAACGATTCGTTGCATTCATACAGCAATTGGAGGATTGCACTGAAGGTCATGAAAACGTCAGTTTACACTAAAAGCACCACAACTACAGAATATTACTGTACACAGCAACCAATAACCTATTTCTATGCAGGTTTCCAAATTTGCACTAGTTCAATTGTACAGCATTAGAATAAAATACAATTTATATTTGTATTTTACATAATTTCTTTATTAGCATAATATTTAATATGAAATTCAAGGACGATTCACACAAATTTTAGGTTTATCAATTAATTGAACTACCAACACTCCTGGATCATTTATTTGTAGGGATGATGTTTACAAAATTCATTGTCCCACACTCATTTGTCATTTATTATCTTTTAAATGTCTACTAATTATGATAACAAATATTTAAGAAATTTATAAATTTAGTTCAATTCAATATTTATTGAATATATCCTAGTATTTAAAAAACATACAACTTTCTCATTTATTATATTACACTCTGTAACAAAAAAATTAATACATTTGTAATACATTTGTATTTTTATTAATTTAGATTTTCTTTTATATTTCTTAGAGAGAGTTTTAGATAAATTGATCACTAATTTTATAGTTAATAATTATCAATAATAAATTTGTAATATTATCAAATAAAACTGTGTTAATTATTTTAATTAATAATATAAATAAAATATTCCAATAAGTAATGTAAAAGGTTATGAATAAACAATAATTTGGTGTTTGATTTCAATCAATGAATTACTTCTTAGGAGCGCTCAATTGCTTCAAGAGTTCGGGTACTTTGCCATTCACTTCATTAAAATACGGCAATTCCTTCTGTAATCTGAAGAACCAGTTCTTCACATTTGGGAATTCATCCAAATCTTTGTAGTCATTGATAGCGAGGGACGAAATGGTACCTAAATAAGAGATGTCGGCGATTGTCAACTCATTTCCCGCAACATATTTGTTGTTCCCAATGAAGTCATTCAAGACATTGAAGTTGTTTTTGAAGTTCTTGACGGCGTTCTCATGCGGTTCCTCTCCACGAAATACTTTGATAAACTATTTGTCAATAATTATTTAAGAATTATTATATTGAATTTGATAATATTTTATATTTATATTAATAGGTAATTGTGAAAGTATTTGACTTACAATAGCGTCCCGAATGGCGTATGCAATGCTCATATCGTAGTACAAAAGTCGGTCCACATGTGCCCTTTTCTTGAGGTCATGAGTTGGATAGAGACCACTGTTTGGCGCGTATTTGGACACTAAGTACTGTATTATGGCTCGACTCTCGCCCAAAGGAAAGCCATCGTCAACTAGAGTGGGAATTGTGTGTTGAGGGTTCAACTGATCCATAAAAATATTTATACAATGAAAAAATAGTTTATTAAATATTAAATAATATTTTAATTTATGTTCATTATTCTTGAATGTAGCCAATTATGGACATACCTTGAGAAATTCTGGTGTTGAAGTTTCTTGTTTTCTAGGATCCGTCTCAATAATATTGACCTCCAGATTGAGTTGTCTGATTGCCATCAACACCGACCGACAGGGAGTGCTCCGAATATTCATATACAAATCAATCGGCATTTTAGTTATACTTATGATTTGGTTATTGTTAAGAATATAAGAAATTGAGATAAAGTTAAATAAACTTTAAGTTAATAACAAATGAAGAATATATTGAATATGAAAGGATTGAGCCCTTTATATAGCCTGTGAAGAAGTTATGGAAAGTTATCAAAACAAGTGATATAACTATTATCAGGTGAAATAGTGAGCCGGGAATGCGGTTTACTGTAAGAAATGAGTGCAAATCCAAAATTGAACTGAAAATGTACTTTTAAATTAAATTTTTACATTTCGCGTCAGAATGCACTACAAAGCACCATAACTACACAATGCATTAGTTTTGAATGTACACAAGTTTTGAATGCATTAGTTTAACTAAAAACATTATAATAAACATTAAATAAAGTACAAATCATACTTATCTTTTACTTTAATTACTTATTTGCATAATAATTAATATAATATAATATGTATACAATAATTAACGAATATACATACATGTAATAGAAATAATTAGTTATATTTCAAAACCATTACCCATATTTTTGTATTCTTGTTTGCAACTTA